AGGGGAGGGGAGGGGAGGGGAGGGGAGGGAAGGGGAGGGGAGGGGAGGAGAGGGATTAGTAATATAAGTGCTTCTTACCCAACCATGGGATCTAGCACAATAGCCCGGGGCTCCTCTAAGTCCTCTGAAATCAGAATCTTCCTCATGGTCCCATTGAGCCTCGTCACCTCTATCCGATCAGTGCCGGTGTCTGTCCAGTACAAGTTTCTTGCAACCCAGTCAACAGCAATACCATCAGGATGGACGACCTGGGCAGTGACCACAAACTGACTACCAGATCCATCTATGAAGGAACGACGGATGGCCCTCACTTCATCATCAGTCCAGTAGATATAGCCTTCTACAGGGTCATAGTCTATGGCAATGGCATGCCGGATGTCTTCCAACTGCAGGACAATGTCAGTAAAATCTGGTGTATCCAAAGAAATGCGCCTCAAGTCTGTCCGTCGGGCTAAGAGCAACAGTTCAGTGGCACCTAAAACAAAGTAAAACCAAGCAATCATTTGAATGTCACAGGCAAAGTTTAACCAATCTATATAAAGCACGTAGAAGTCCTCAGGAATTGGAATTAACTGAGTTTATTCTGCTCTCCCTAGAGTAGAACTAAAACGTGATACTGTGAAACAGAAGTCAGTGCAAACTCCTTAATGGCTAACTCTCCAAATCAAGCTGCAATCCACACTTGCTGATTTACTGGATAACCCCTGGATAAAGGTATGCAAAAGTAATCATCATTTCATTTCTCATAGCTAAGCAGTAATGGAGGAAGAAATTTGTAGACTCCAGAGCCTTTTTTCAAGAAGCATGTTTTAGAGGCCCAGAAGGGTTGGGGGTGTGGACTGCTTGCCTGATAACCATAAAGACCCAAGTCTCACCCCCTCAGCCCACAGACAAAAGCCAGCCATGGTGGCAATGCACGAGCACTCCTGGGAGAAAGGCAAAGATAGGTAGATTCCTGTGTCTCACAGGGCACAGGGCAGTTGGCAAATTCCATGCCAGAGACCTACCTCCAAAGGGAAAAAAGGGGGAGGCACCTGGAAAGTGACACTTGAATTTGTTCTCTGACCTCCATGTACACCTGTACACATGAACAGACATAGGCATGCAAAAGTGTGCTCGTAATGTGTGTGCACACAATGATAAAAAAACAAGGACAAAATGTTAAAAACTGAATTCTGAAACAGAAGAATGTTACGGCACGTAAACACAGAGCAATATTCAACAGCCCTGCGGACAAGGGAAGCTGCGGAGACGGGAACTTAAGAGGTGCAACAGTGGTTAAGAGTATTTGAGCCAATAAAATCTGGTTCAAGTAGGGAAACAAACTGAGAAGAAACACAGTCACTGTAAACCTAGATTCAGCTAAATATAAAAATTAAGGATAAATATAATATTCCGGAAGGGACTAATCATAAAGTATTCAGTAAGTATCAGCTAATATATCATTAAAAATAAAGACAGAGTTATAAATCAAAAAAATGTTTTTTTTTTAAGTTTTTCAAGACAGGGTTTCTCTGTGTAATAGTTCTGGCTGTCCTGAGACCAGCTCTTATAGACCAGGCTGGCCTCGAACTCAGCGATCGGCCTGCCTCTGCCTCCCGAGTGCGTGCGCCATCACCACCTGGCAAATTTCTGAAATTCTTACATAGGATCCAATGAAAACATAATTAAAAATAAAAATATTAAGCTTAATATTTTTGTTTGCTTTAATGTTCAAGTAAAACACCAGCAAAATAATCATCTATGGACTAATAAAAATAATATGTAAACTGTCAACTGAATGAGCAAGGAGAAAAAAAAATCCCAGCTAAAATGTGTGTAAAGAAATACTGGCATATAAATTTAAATATGAATTTGGAATCATAGCTGCAAAAGCAAGAAGAGAAGAGACCAATTTCAGCATCAGCTGTCTGAGTAGAGGGCCGACTATGCATGAACGCTAGACCGGAGAGGATGAAACACAAACGGTAACTGCAGGCACAGCGGGAACGATGCTGCACACTCACTGCCCATGCTAACTGACAAAGACAGATCAAACCTTACAAAGAATTCACAGAACTATTAATGTGAGCAAGGTGATCAAAACAATATAGAACTTCAGACTATTAGGTGCTAAATATGCACCTGGAACTCAGAACTGGTTAAACATGTACATGTACACCACTGTGAAGGAGAAGACAAACTTCCACTGCTGAAATAAATCCTCGTTTTCAACGTCAAGGTACATTTTTAAACAGAAAAGCAATGCTACAAAAACCCTTTTGTTTAAGTTGAAACCGAATCACTGTTTACCATGGAAACCATCTGACAAGAGTCAGCCAGCTTCACCTTTGACTATGAGGATAATTTATCAACGCCAACTCATAGTAAACATCCACTAAATTGACTCAATTCCATCTCACTGACTCGCTGACCTCCTTGCCAGGAGCTCTCTAACACGCTCTGGAAGAAAGGCGCCAGGCTTCCCGAGGAAGATAAAGAAGCCGCTGTACATATAACAATTTTCTTACCAGATTCTGCTTGTTGCCAGAGAATGGTGACCCATAGGAGTAAGAATGAAGAATAACATCCTCATTAAGACAAAAAGTGCTGGTGTTCTCCCAAACTAAAAGCCCCTTGCAATGTCCTAAGCCTGTGCCCTTCTCTAGCATCCTCTATCTATAGAGGATTAATAAGAGTGAGAAGAAAAGGACAAGAGGACCGGCTGAGTTAAAGAAATAAAGTTACTTTAATAGTACAATGAGGAACTTTTTCTTAAGGTACTTCTTTGTCATTAAAGAGCACTCAAAATTATCTTTCAATAGTTTAATAGAAAACTTTACCTATTCCATTTTATTCTTCATCAATAAAAGTTTAATAATTTTCATTCAGTTCTTTTTTATTTACTGGTGTTACCTAAGTATTATGAGATTGTGATTTCAGTGGCTATGAAATTTGCCAAGAGAAACACTACCTGTTTGTCAATTTGTTTTTTCCAAAAACACAATGTTTCTTAAGTACTAAATAAATAACATAAAATAAAAAGATGCCACAAAACATAAACCACCTCTGCTAGCAGCCACCTGAGTGACTAGTCTCCCAAAGCACTGCCAACGCTAGAGTTTACAAAAGAAATACAAAGTTGTTCATACAGAATCCAACTGCTCTCAGGATTTTTTTCTCACTTGAATAATAACCATCTTACCATCTTTGCAGGTTTTTCCATTCTCCAGAAGCTTGACCCCAGTTGGACAAGCACACTGATAAAAAGGCTTGATTGGAGACATCAAACACAAGTGGGAACAACCACCATTATCAATTCCACATGGATTTGTAGCTGTCAAATATAAATCACACTGATTAATACCAATGATTAGGGATGACCTCACTCACTCTGGATACACAAAGGTTAACAACCATAACATGAGCAACTGTGATAAACCAAAATGACTACCAAATTTCCTCCAGGTGCTTGACTACCAACCATCTGTAAGGAAAGGAATTAATTAGTGAAAACTTCATGGGTTTTTTAATCCAAAGAGAAGTAACTAAGAAGAAAAGCAGAAGGTCTTTGCCCTAATAGAACTTATAAACTTATTAGTGAGTTAAAATAATAAACTATGGAAATGGAAAGAAAACAAGTAAGCTAAATATTATATTGCACATTTCAACTAAAAGAGGGTAGACAATCAATGAGGACTTAATCTCAGTGTTTAAAAAGCTGGGGGGAAAATCTTCACAGAATGCATGAGGCCCAGCAGGCACCCTGAAGAACAGGAGGGATCATTCTGAACATTTTGGGTGTGGTAAAAAGCCTTCAGAATAAAAACTTAGAAACCAGGCACTGGGAAGCAGTAAGGAGAACACTGTTAAATAGAGGCTAAGATTTCTGTAGACCAGGAGAACATCAAGAATGGGAACATGCTGTGGCAGAGGGTATGAAAGCCAAGAAATACAATTAGAATTTTGGAAAGCCATTCTTTGGAATGAACAAGATGAAAAAGACAAATTCAATAGACTAAAGGAGGGAACGTGGAACACAGAAAGACAGGCACAATGACACACACCCCAAATCCCCCACTGGGAACTGGAGCTCAAGGTCAGTCACAGTGGGACTGGGGGGAGGGCAGTGTAAGTAAGAGGGATCCTGTTTCCATTCTTATTTTAATTTTTTAACAGTCTGAGTTGTAGTTTAATGGTTTGAGTAGTTGTCTAGAATGTACAAAACCTAGAGTCAGCCTGTAGCACTGCAAAAAAGAGAAAGCAAGAATAAGAGACAGAGACCAAAAAAAAAAAAAAAAGCCAAGCTATGAACACTGTAGAAATGAATATATTCAAATAACATTCATGGAAATATCAATATAGAATAGAGAGCATCCTCAAAGACCTTGAAAGAAAAAAAAGATAGAGAGCAATACAACATAAGACATAAACATAAATCATCAAAAATAACTAACATTCTCAAGCCAGTAAAACAAAGGATCAACTATGTCATTTAAAACATGGTTTGGAGAGTTTCTGAGGACTAATCATGAGAATACAAAGTTCACAAAGGACTACATAAACATTTTATTTTTACATAGATTAACACATCTATTTTAAAATGCTTTTATGATCTCAGTCATCAAACTCCAATGTAACACATTCAATATTTGATTAAATCCCCCTAACTGGAAAGAACTAGTATCAAACAACTCAAAATCCAAGCACTCTTCCTTCTTGGCTATGGAAAACTATTTGAAATATACTCAGACACACAGCAGACATTTATTTACAGACAAGTCCCAAACATTTACCATTCTCTCATAAAATCCAAATCCATGCCTCTCCTACAAGGGGTCACTGTCAGCAGACACAGCCCCATGTCTTTGTAAAGGGTAACCAAAACCAGAAGCAAAGTTAGAAAGAGAAACACGTAGAGGAAGAGGAGGAATGCAGATGAATGCTCAAGCAGGTGGTTTATTCAGCGCACTTAGGTGCTGGAATTCATTAGCTGAGTTAAGAGAGGCTTCCTATTCAATCAATATTCTTTTTAGCACACTCACACGAACACATCGGAACAGTAAAAAATTATGAACAAGAAATGCATTTATTTATAAACTTAGCATTCTTAATTTTTTGTTCATTTCTGTTTGCCACTTCTATTATCCCAGCCCCAAATAAAAGACAAGACATTATGTGGTAAAAGGAACCACGCTGCAAGGTTTAGACTGGTGTAAGAACCTGAATTGTTTGTATGCTCTTCCCTTTCCGTCCTCCACTGTATTTGGATATGCCCCTCCTCCCCGCCAGGGCCTCACTAAAGCCAGACATCAGACTGCTGCAGAGCTCTTCCAACCTGGAATTTCAAAATCCAGATCACTTACCATTTGGCTGCCTCTGTTGGCTGAAAGCATGTATATCCATGGGAGAGAAGATGTTAGAATGGATTTCACGCAGACCCTCGCCAGTATACTTGTTGCAAGCCAAAATAGAATGTGTATTCCAGTCAGTCCAGTACAGTGTGTCCTCAAATAACGTCAAGGCAAAAGGATGTGGAAGGGAACCTTTAACCACTGCCTGCCTATTAACACAAAAAGAAAAACTCAAACTTCTAAAATTTTCTTTTATGACATCATCATCACTCGGCAATGAAGAGAGTCAACACATACACATACTAAGGAAGACATATCTGTAGGTTAAATCCATTTATGAAAAAAATTCACATATGTTTTCAAGTTGTCAAAAACCTTAACCAAACATTCAGAATGGTCAGTCTTGGCTTGGCAGCAGGCCAACTAAATCACAGGACAGAGAAGCCCAAATTTTAAGGTTGCTGTCCGTCTCCCTTCTCAGCAACTACCTCTAGACTCACATTTTCTATTCTTTCATGTAATTAACATCAGCAGGAAAAAAAAAATAAGCAACGAGGAAAACCCCAGGGGTTAACAGTTGGCACCAGGAAGTAAATTTAAGACAACAAGAGGTCTGTCCCTCTTAATGTGTAAGAACAAAGAGCCTGAGCCTGCTTTTCAACAACATGATTTTAGTAACTACAACTGAAAACATACACATGATGCTAAAGTGACAGCACTCAGTCTAGCTCTAGAAAATTATTATCTAAGCTATTTTATTTGTTTTTATTTTACTATAACTAAACCTCTCAATTCAGACAGCTAACCATTGGTATGATATGTTCACAATACAAAACTAGAGTTTCACAAACAAAACATATTGCATAAAAAGAAAGATCTGAAAGACTCTCGAAGAGGACTTTCTCTCAGGAAGAGACCTCCCTGACGCCAAGGAACAGACCGAGACCACACGGATGCAAATCGCAAGAGGTTTATTGGGTAGGCACAAGTACCTGCGGGCAGCAAAGTCTTTCGGACTGGAGGGCGGGCTTTTTATAGGGAGGAGCAAAAAGCAAGTTTACAGAAGCAAAAGCGTGGCTATCGGAATGAGGCGGGGGCATGAATGGTTTCCTCTCTCAGCATGGGTGTCAGCAAAAGTCATCCTGTTCCTATCTTATAGATATCCTGTTTTGCAGTCAACCTGCTTTGTTGATGTCCTATCTTATTGATATCCTGCCTTGCAGTCTTCCTATCTCATAGACATCCTGCTCTCTCAAGCACATGGGATGTTCTTGTGAGAGCAGGCTGGCTGCTGATCCTGAGAATTTTTTTTAAGCAAACAGGACGTTCCCCCGGGAGCATGCTAGCTGTAGGGTCTTTCAGATCCAGCCCTCAAGACACACCGAACTCTGCAGTGTCAGAGCTGTTCAATTAGGAAGTGCTCAACAAAATGAATAAATTATGATTTCAGTCAAACAAACATTTACGACAATAAATACTTCGATATTTTCATAAACTGTGTTTTCCAATACTCAGCCTTGGGGAGGGAGGTGAGACAGACATGAATACATAAGCTACTGAAGAGAACAGTTCAACTTTGCATTCATAGGGTGACTTCATGGTCTGTGGCAAGAACAACTGTGGGATTGTGGAAACAGTATCTGCGACACATGAACCAGTCCTGACTTAAAGTATTGCAAATTCAAGACATATTTTATTTTAAAAATTAAAAACTGAGCATAAGAGGAAGGCAACTAATTTATATTTTAGAACATCATACTGACTAGTTGACCTAAATCATCAATTTTCTCCTTTCATTTCCTTATTTTTCTTGTAGACCTGGGAATTGAATTCAAGGCATGCAAACGCAGGCAAGGGCTCTCTCTACCACTGTTACATTTCAACTATACATGCCAGCTCATTAAAAAACTAAATCTCAGGGGACGTGGCTCAGAAACAGAGCACTCACTAACACTCATAAGGGCCTGTGTTCACTCTCCACGACTAAAATATAAGCATCCATACTAATGCATGCCTTTGCCTGGTGAAGTGACACAGGTTTATAACCCAGTACTCCAGGCCCATCCATCAATAAATGCTACAGCTATACAAAGTATTTTTTTCTGTCCAAATTGGAATTCATCAAGAAACTAAAAGCCAGGGCTGAAGAGATGGCTCACCAGTTAAGAGCACTTACTGCTCTTACAAAGGACCTGGGTTCAGTTTCCAGAACCCCTTTGTTGGTTCACAACCATCCTAGTCCTAGGGATCAATTGCCCTCTCTGACTTCCATAGGCACCAAGCACACACAACGCACATACACATTCAGGCAAAACACTCACACATAAATAAATCTCTTATAAAAGAAAAATGGATAAAGAACCGAGAAATTAAATTTCTTTCTCAATTTTTCATTTTCTAAATTCTTCCACATTTTCTTCTACATAAGCATTGTGTCACAAAGCAGGCAGCTCATAGCTATAATCCTAACACTTCAGAGGTTGAGGCAGAAATATTACTACAAATCTGTGGCCTATGTAGGCAATCATACAGAATGAGAACCAGCTCAAAATATATTAAAAAAAAAAACTAGCTAAGGAAGAAATCACAAAATTGGTTAAATACCGAGCTAAAAAAAAAACACAAGTACAATGCATACAAATTTATGAGCATCCATCAAAGGAGGTAAATTTATAGACTACAAATGCCTTAATTAGGGGACAGATGGCAAATTAACCTCCTTTCCACCGCCTCGGCCTGAAGACACTGGAAAAGGAAGAGCACACTAAGGCAAATAGAAGTGTGGGAAGATATAACATAGAAAGTTGATTCTTTGAAAGATTAATGAAAATGCAACCTGTAGCTATATTGACAAAGAAAAAACAAAGGTATAAACTAAAACTGAACATCATAACTGAAAGAAGGAAAACATCATACTTTTTAAAAAAAATCAAAAAATGTATTACAAGGAGCAACTATAAACAACTTTGTGCCAACAAATTAGTCAACTTACAGGAAATGGAAACGTTCTTAGAAAGAAACCAATTACTAATAAAAATTCATGGAGGAAGACAACAGAGGTGCATAAACAAACTCAGCCAGTCACAGAATCCCTAAGAAATAGCCAGGCCCATACAGCATCACAGATTAAATCTACCAGACATTTATATACCAGCAAGCAAGCAAACAAACAAATAAATAAGAAAAATAGATGGGCAGATGACAGAAATATTTGGTAACACACTCTGGGAGAATAAAGGTAAAGAAGACATTTCCCAACTCATTCTTAGAGGCTGGTTCTAAAGTAACAATATCACAAAGATACCAAAAAAAACATCCTTCATGAATAAGGACATAAAAATCCTCAACAGAACATATAAAAAGAATTATAAATCATCACTAAGGTGAATTCATCCAAGAAATACAAGCTTGGCTTAACAATTAAAAGAGCCATTTACAAAGCTTATTTTTTTAAAAAACACAACCAACTATTTCTATAGATATAAAATAAATAGGCAAGGTCCATAATCATTCATGATTTAAAATGAGGTCAATAAACTAAGAATAAAAGAAAACTTCCTTCACCTGAAGAAAGCACTTTACAAAAAATTCTGCGCCTAACATTCTACTAATCTGGCAATAAATGCCGATCCTGGAGGAGCAAAAGATGTCTCTACTCTACATTGTATCAGAGGATGTAGCTAATGTGATCAAGCAAAAGAACACCCCACCCAGATGAAATGACTATGTATACAGAATATGTAGTTTTTTTAAAACCAATCTTCCCAAACCTAGTGAATTCAACAAGATTGTAAGATTAAATGATTCATCAACAAAAATAGTTTGTACTTCTATATGCTAAGTAATGAAAAATAACTTCTAATTTTGCTACTAAAAATATTGACTAGGAATAAATGTATTTGCCTGACATGTATGAGGTTCTTGTTTCAATACTGAGCACCACAAAAATAAAGAAGGGCTGACAAGATGGCTCAATGGGTAAGGGTCCTTCCTAGGCAAGCCTGGCAGCCTGAGTTTGGTCCCATAGCTCACATAAAAATAAAAGGGGAGAATTGATTCCCAAAAGTTGTCCTCTGATCTCCCCACACACACATAAATAATAACATTCTTTAAAAATTAATGTATTTCTTTAAAAACAAATAATAGCCTAAAGGGCAAAGGATATGCAGTTCAGGGGTACTGCACTGCCCAGCAGGCATGAGGGCCTAGATTAAAAACCCCAGCCCATAGTGTGTAGTGAGGCCCTGGACTCAATCTCCAACACTATGAGTAAAATACTTATACTGTAATACATAAATATATAACACCGAATTCCTTTTCAAGTTATCCATTTAAAATACTATCAGGGATATATTTTATAAAGGAATTCAAGAGCTAACCTACACAAGCAAATCAAAATGGATCATACATCTGATTTAAACGTAAGCATTATAATAATAAAACTCTTGGGAGTTTCTCTCATAGAAGAAAATATTTATGATAGAAGAAAATATTTATCACTTCTTGTCAGACAAAGGATACTAGGAGCACCAAAGGCAATTTAACAAGAGCAAAGCAAAATTGGCCAGGTGCTTTAATCCCAGCACTTGGGGGCAGAAATAGGTAGATCTCTTTGAGTTCAAGGCCAGCCTGGTCTAGAGTGAGTTCCAGTAGTGTTTGTTCCAAAGCTACACACAGAAACTCTGTCTTGAGAAACAAAAATAAAACACAAAAAGAAAAAGCACTGATAAATTGCTTATAATAAAAACTTTACTATTTGTTTCAAAATATGCCATCAAGAAAATGGAGACACAAGCTGTAATGACAGAAACATTCTTAAATCATATATACAACGATGAAATCTTATCTATATTAAGAAAGAATTCAGTAACAGAACTAATGAGTAAACTATTATTAAAACTGACAAAATGGGGACCATCATGATGGCTCAACAGATAAGGGCACTTGCTGCCAAGTCCTGATGAGAAGAAATTGACTATTGCTTGGTTTTTGTTTGTTTGTTTTTCGAGACAGGATTTCTCCGTGTAACAGCCCTAGCTGTCCTGGAACTAGTTCTTATGGACCACGCTGGCCTTGAACTCACAGAGATCCACCTGGGAATAAAGGCGTGTACCACCACCACCCAGGAATTGACTCTTAAGTTATCCTCTAACCTCTAAATGCCAACCATGGCATGTGCCTCCCCCCCCCTAAGAAATTTTTGATTGACAGAATATTTCAAAATAATATCTAACTGGGTCCCATGAGGAAAATCTAAGCTAAAAACTGGGCTCCAAAGGATTATAGATTGACCAGAAGGAAAGTTAGTATTAGAAATGAGAGGAAACACACAAAGGAACCAAAATCACAGCAAATTCTGATACCTGAATTCTTTTTCCCCAGTTATTTTTCTCCTGATTATAAAAGGAATACTCATTCTTTATAAAGATTTAGAAACATAAAAATATAAAGGTTATTTTTGTAAATATATACCAATACAAGCAATCTCAATTATCGGTGATTTTGTTTTTAAAATAGGTTAAGACATAATAGGGTAATAAATAAACCAATAAGATCTGGAAAAAATAATCTGGTGAAACCAGGTAACACTAAATCAGAGACCTTAGCAGGAAAAGTTAAATAAATATGAGAAACTAGCAAGAACTAAGGAGGCTGCAGACAGAGAATGAGAAGATATGGCTCAGACAAGAAAAATGAACAAAGCACTATGGAAAGTCCATGCAAAGGCCAAGTACAAAGAACATTTCCTACATCCTAATCAAGCTTCAGGAGGACTAGTGTAGCAGGTTTCCCAGTCTGTTGTGCCCTAATGGTTTGTTTGCCCAAAGAAAAATTGTTATATGGAAAGATCCTTCCAGCTTTTGTTTATTTGGGAATGTTTCACTTTCTTACTCACTTTTGAAGTTTTGATGGGTATAGGATTCCAAGTTTACTTTTTTTTTTTCTTTTGGCCCTTTGAAAACTGGCCAACTGCCTTTTGGTCTACATTGTTTCTTTAAGAATTCTGCCTATTCTCTAATCAAGTTCCCTTGTACATAACAAGTCACCTCTCTTTTTAACTTTTAACATTATGTATCTTTGGCTTTTCTAAATGTGCTTATAATTTGTCTCATGCTATGTTCCTCTTGCATGAAGTTCAACAGCTTCTCAAACACTGGCACTCCTGTCTTTCTTCAGATCTGATGGTTTCCAGCAATGGTTTCTTCAGAGATTTCTCCTCTTTTCCTCTGGAATCTAGACGTTGAACACACTAGTCCACCCAATGAGCTCCCACACCGCCATTCCCTCACACAGTTTTGTTCTTTCTAGTCTTCCACTTGATGCCGTTGCTTGCCCTATCATCTCAAGTTTCCTGTTTGTTTTGTTTCTGTTTTGTTTTGTTGTTTTTGTTTTTGTTCAAATTTAAAGGCAGATGCCTTTAAATTCCCTAGTGATTTTTTCACTTCAAGAATTGTTCATTTCAGATACAGAAATTTCTTTCTGCTTTTATTTCAATTTTTTTTCAACATCTTCCTGAAAGTCTTTCAGTGTTATTGAGACACTTGGAAAGTCTCTATTAGATGTCCTATCAAGATCTATAAAATTACATTTTTCCTCCTTTTAATTTCTACCAAACTTTCTAATGTCACTGATCACTTAAGGTAGATTTTTTTGTTCTTCAGTTGTTTGTTTTTCCTTTACCTAAAATGGTTTTTCTTCCACTTACAAATTTTTCTAAGTTTTAGTAATCTAATTTCAGAACTTTTCTTGTGTCATTTTCCTTTACATGTTATATTGATTTCACATTAACTTTTGGTTATATTTAAACAAAGGTTTGCCCTCTCTTCTATGTGGAAGTTTTCTGGAACGCTGTGGGTGTGGGTGTGTTCTGTTCCTTATTCTTTCTTCCTTTGCAGTAACTTTAAACGGCACTTCATCTGATTCTTTTCTGATTCTCCTTTATCAAAATATTTTCTCTGAACTTTTAAAAAGAAAGCAATATTTAAGGTAGTTTTAGCTTCACAAAAACACATCCCCCTTGTTCCTATGATGTTCAAAGTTTAGCTTCTGAGAGCCACTAGGTGTCCCCTTCTTGGAATCTTCTCTCCTCCCTTCATCTCTCCCTGTTCCAGTGTGCCTTTCTGTACAACTGTGAAACAGTTCTCCCAGGCAATTTCTTTCCTTTCAATGTGGTGCCCTAACCTGAGTAAGAACCCTGGTCTTACCGTTTTCAAAGAGCTCACTGGGGTTAAATTCCTAACTCCACCTGTCCTTCCCATGGACACACAACACTTGCCAGATATTTCAACGAGCAGCCATTGTTCCATATTTCCTGTCAATCATTTTTGGGGGGTATAGAGGAGTTTGAGCAAGGTCTCTGTTTAGCCCTGATAGTCCTTGTAACTCGGTTCTATAGACCAAGCTGGCCTTGAATTCAGAAATCCACCTGCCAAACGTAATATGTGCCACATCCTACTGTCCCTCAGAGCTGATGTTCTTTTGGAGCTTCCCTACTTTCAAATCCTATGATATACCATGTTACCTCCCTGCTCACCCCTGCATAGAGACAGTGATACCATGTTACCTCCCTGCTCATCCCTGCACAGTGATGGCATGTTACCTCCCTGCTCACCCCTGCAATACAGTGATGCCATGTTACCTCTGCTCACCCCTGCACATACAGTGATGCCATGTTACCTCTGCTCACCCCTGCACATACAGTGATGCCATGTTACCACTGCTCACCCCTGCACATACAGTAATGTCATGTTACCTCTGCTCACTCCTGCACATACAGTGAAGCCATGTTACCTTCCTGCTCACCCCTGCACATATAGTGAAGCCATGTTACCACTGCTCACCCCTGCACATACAGTGAAGCCATGTTACCTCTGCTCACCCCTGCATAGGCAGTGAAGCCATGTTACCTCTCTGTTGCCTCAAATTCAGAGATTCAATTCCTCTGCATTCTCAGTGCTACGATGTCACCCACAAAAAGGTGCACCCAGACAACCAGAACTTTTTTTTTAAACAAAGCCTCACTAAGTCTACATGCTGAAAATGTTGACATCACATAAGAAATATAACTACATGGGAGTGAGGAAGCTGAGTATGTTTGTGCACATGTATATGCTGCTGATTCATGCCGGCACATACATGTGCATGTGTGCATATGTTTAGAGGCCAAAGCTCAATGTAGGATATCTTCCTCTATCACTCTTTGGTTGATATAATAAAGCTTTATTAAATTTTAAAAAGAAAAAGGCATGGCAGGCTAGAGACGAGTCAGCAGTAAGAGCACCTACTGAGCAGTCATATTAAATGGAGTTCAGATCCCAGAACGCATAGAATAGAGAGGTGCCCCACAAATGCCTGGGACTCCAGTTCTGAGAGATCAGGCACACCCTTATGTGCACATACACTCATGCAGTCAAATACATAAACTTAAAATTTAAAACAAGGCAATCTTACCGACTTGTTCCATCCAGGTTTGATTTATGGATAAAATTCAGTTTTGCATCTGCCCAATAAAGCTTCCGCTCCTCATAATCCAGAGTCAGTCCGTTTGGCCAGTAAATTTCAGTGTTTATTATAACAGAGCGACTTGAACCATCCATTCCAGCACGTTCTATTTTTGGCACTTCTCCCCAGTCTGTCCAGTACATGAACCTAAAAATCATTAAAAAGAAAAAAATAAAGCCATGACATGCATAACCACAAAATATTTTTAATTACTACTATTGCATAAAGCTCTCTCAGAAACAACAAACTGAAAATAAATCCGACATTTTTTTCCACATTTTAATAATCTACTACTTGAAACCAATATACAGGTATGCCTGATACAGACAAGGAACACCAGGAGTGCAAAACCAGAGGTCCAGGGTTTATTTGCAAAAAGAAAATTAACATCAAAACAACTCTGAGATTCCATTTTACACCCATAAGAATGGCCAAGATCAGCGGGGACCAGCGGGGATGCAGGCCACAGGCGTTGGGGACCAGCGCGCAACACCGAGAGCAGATCGCCCCACTACAATTAAATCAAAGAGGTAGGCCTTTGGTTGGCGAGGTCCCTGGCAAACGAGGAGCCGGGTCCTGAAGACCCTTCTGAGGGGTGAGAGGGATCTTGGCCCCCGGCGGCAGGAGCCAGAAAACAGGGCGAGGGCATTTTATAAGAGGAGCCCCTGGCCAGCAGGGAAACCTGATCCCGTTTTAAAAGACTCATTAGATAGCATCGATAGGAGGAGATGGGCAGGCACCAAGGCAAAAATTCACCCAATAATCTGAAAAACAACATGAAAACACCAGAACCCAATGATCTTACAACAGAAGGACTTGAACACCCTAACACAGAAGTGGAAAAAATTGACTTTATGAAAGCAATAGAGTCCCTTAAACAACAATGTGAAAAACGCCCTTATAGAAATGGATGAGAAGTATAACCAAAAGTTTGAAGAAATGAGTAAATACGTACATGATACCCTGGGAAACCAAGAAAAAACGATCAAACAGGTAATGGAAACAGTTCAAGAATTGAAAACTGAAATGGAAGCAAGGAAGATAACACAAACTGAGGACCAGCTGGATATGGAAAATCTAGGACAAGGAGCAGAGTCTATAGAAACAAGCATAATCAATAGAATACAAGAGATGAAGAATGGCCAAGATCAAAAACACTGATGACAACTTATGCTGGAAAGGATGTGGGGTAAAGGGAACACTGCTCCACTGCTAGTGGGAGTACAAACTGGTACAGCTCCTTTGGATATCAGTATGATGATTTCTCAGAAAATTAGGAAACGACCTACCTCAAGACCCAGCACTATTTGTCATAGTCAGAACCTGGAAACAACCTAAATGTCCCTCAACCGAGGAATGGATAAGGAAACTGTGGTACATTTACACAATGGAGTACTACACAGTAGAAAAAAATAATGGCATCTTGAAATCTGTGGGCAAATGGATAGACCTAGAAAACATCATATTGAGTGAGGTAACCCAGACCCAGAAAGACAAATATAATATGTACTCACTTATAAGTGGCTTGTAAACATAAAGCAAAGAAAAACCAGCCACAATCCACAATCCCAGAGAACCTAGACAACAAAGACGACCCTAAGAGAGACATAAAGGATCTAGCGAGGAGGGAAGAAGAAAAGGACAAGACCTCCTAAGTATATTTGGTAGCATGGAGATCATGAGAGAGGGTAGAAGGGAAGGGAGGAGGAAGGGAGGGAAGCAGAGAAAAATATGTAATTCAATAAAAACAATTTAAAAAAATAAAGAACATTTACACTATCTCATTGTACATCCTACAGATTACTTATTACCAAGGAGAAGATAGCAACTACAAAGAAAGTCTGGATGATTATACCAAAAACAAGCTATGTCAACATCATCAATAGAGACAACTCGCTGTGGGGAACTGAAAACAAGGCACTGTTTGTAAGACCCTACTCCTGCCAGTACCCACAGAATGCCTAGTCTCAAGGAAACTGTATAAAAATAGGCTCAAATTAAGGGACATTTTTCTGAATAGGAAAAGGTTTAAAAAATGATTTTTATTTCATTTCTTGAAGTAGTAAAAGTATTGTTTTTGCTGAGGTTCATAATACAAAGGAAACTTTTGCTCAGTTGCACAGCTAGCAAATGGAGACAAGAAATTCAAACAAAAATCTGATTCTCCAATGCTCATGCTATAGTCTTGGTGTTTAAAGGACTAAAAAGAAAGCAGATTCTTCCTAAATGAAGGGTGATGATTGGACACTGTCTACACTGAGTAAGAGAAGGACTAGCTCATACCATACCAGATAAAGTTTTATACAGGAAGGCAGGCAGGCAGGCAGGCAGGCAGGCCATGTTTCCCTTAAGGTTTTTATTCTAAGAGCAACATGGAGAGTTTTAAAGCTGAAGATCAAATGGCTGGCTTTATGTTTCAGGGAAAGCAGGGGGAAACTGAAAACTGGAGGCAGTGAGGAGGAAGACTGAGGAGGGTGAAAAGGAATGGAGAGAGCAGTCCGTCTACAGTCTTGACATGACTAATTTCATTTTCTTCACACTGTTCCCTGGTCAGTCTACTTTGCCAGTGTTTTCATCTATGGACAGCATTTTCAGTAAAAATTATCTCAGGAATCTATACCTAAAATTAAGCTGCTTGTAGGTGTTTTCACTTTTATACTTAAGTTTGTGGTTGATTTTATTTCTATAGAGTGTTTAAATGATATGGATATAGTCTCAAGCATAACTATGCTTGTCTTGAACTCACTACAGCACAGACTATACTCAAACTCATGTTATAATTCCTGCTGACATTACAGGCAGGCAGGTACCACTACACCAGGCTGTTTCTGTCTACTTTTATTTTGCTTTGAGACTGTCTCATGTAGGCAGGCCTCAAGCTAACTTTGTAGTTGAGGATGACCTTGAACACCTAATTCTCTTGTTTCCACCTCCTAAATGCTGGGATTACTAGCCTGAGCTACCATGCTGGGTTTGTATTCTGTTCTGTTACTCTTCAGTTACAAGTCCTCTCTAATCGTGAAGCACTTAGAAGAGAGACAGTGAGGCACAGGCCTCAGAGAACATAATCTTGGCCACTTCCTACAGGAACCTTGAATAAATTATTTACCTCTTGGTCCCCCGTGTTCTTCCTCTACAGGAGGATTAAAATCAGACTTAGCTCACTCACAAAGCTCAAAGACCCTCCTTGCACTCAGCAGGTTTCTCACTTCAGGAGCAGAGGGCAGGGTATTAGCATAATCTAGCTCTGACCTGCTGAGTCTCTACCAGAGTCTTTATCATGACCTGGCCACTTCCCTCCACACAACAGCATTCTCACAGTTTATCTCCAATAGTGCAATACTTCCTCCCCAAATGTGATTAATGCTCCTTTATCAACCTGAGTATCTGACACACATAAAATTTGTTAATTAATGTTTAAGATTTATTGCCTCTGACACATTTAAGTTTTATATATTTTTCTGAATAAGAAAAGGTAAAAAATGATTTTTTTTCATTTCTTGAAGTAGTATTCATTTCTTGAAGAAGTATTGCTTTTGCAAAGGTTCATGACTTCCCACACAGTGATTCTTTTAAGATCTTATTTTTAGGGGTATGTGTGAATACATCTGTGTGCGGGCATGTGCATGTGTGTGAAGGTACCCATGGCAGCCAGAGGCATCTAATCCCCAGGAGTTGGAATTACAGGAAGCTGTGTGACCCACGTGACATGATGGGTGCTGGGAACCAAACTTGGCCCCTCTGCAAGAATGGTATGTGCTCTTAACCACTGAGACATCTCCCCAGCCCTCCTCTACATGTTGATTCTTAATAATTTGCTGAGTATATAATAGTTTCTGAAAGATTTAGCAAAACAAGTAGCATTTAAAGAATGAGTTGGCAGAGAGGTGAGCAAGAATTCACAATAAATTGGGGGGGGGGGGCGTTGTGGCAGGATTTCATTAGTTTGACATGCTAATTTACAATCTGAGTGTTCATCATTCAAAACCCACACATCAGTAAAGATTTTAATGCTATTCTGCATCTCTTCACCTTTATATATCTCAGAAAGATGGTTAATCCCACCAGACATAAAGACACTTGAGTTGAGCCTCGGAAGAAGAAACATTCAAGGAAAAGGGACCACCTTGGGGCACAAGTATATGTAATAAGAAACTCCAGAGCACAGATTCTATTATCAGTGTGGCACAAAACATGAGGGCTGAGATAAAGACACAGAAGTGGTCAAATTTCTTATGTGAGAAATCAGATGCTTAAATTTGATTTTAAAAAAAAAAAAATATGTGGAAAGAGGGGTGTCCATGTGATTTGAAGCAGGATCTCTTTTTCATTGCTGCATAGGCTAGGCTAGGCTTGTTAGCCTGGGAGCTTCCTGTGTCTGCCTTCCACAGTATCTTACAGCTGGGCTACCAGTTCAGCTTATGGGAATCCAAACTCAGGTTATGCTTGCCTGGCCACGCTAGCAGCCTGATTTCCCTGCTGTGCAGGTATCAAGACAGTGTGCTGGTGTAAATGATAAGGGAGCAAATGACAGATCAAAAGGCCAACACAGCATTAAAACAATCCTTAGTCACCATAACCAGTGAAACAATGGAGTTGAGAGAAACCCCATAAATTCATAACAAATGTTGCTGGTTATGCAAATCTAGTAGTGTTCATCAGCATTGTGCAAGGCTTCGGGACATCTATGAGATAATCAGTTCTTGGAAATTAAAAAAAAAAACTAAGATTTTTCTGAGTGAGTTCTCTTTAGCATGCATTTCCTCCCTGGCTCCTGATATGAAATAACAAGAGAAAGCGCCTGCTGTCAGAATTTTCATCCTTGGCAACTGAAAACAACCCAAGAAATTTACTAAAAACAGCACCAATCTGGATTCTTCCACCAGATATTCTGATTTAATTGGTTTGAGGTGGACCCGGCAATCAATGTATTTTTGTCACTGTTAGAGTACAATGAACCATGCTTCATTTTGGCATTTTCATGCATAGTTTGTTTTTGTTGATCCTCTTCCCCTACCCCAATCCCCTGGTCCCCCCTTTGAACCCTTACGTCCCCAGTAGTTCTCCACTGTCTCCACATTACATGTTTCATTACCCCACCTTCCTCAAATCCTCTTTTCTCCCTGTTATTTCATGGCCTAGAGCCA